TATCTCTTCTTATGTTTAACGATGAGTCAGCGTATTTACCAACCTAAATTACACGCTTAACGACCTTATTTATTAAAGTGCAGTAACACATCATAACATCAACAAAAGGGTCGCATACACTCGTGTTAAACCTGTGTTCATAATAGTTTAAAGCATAAGGATACTTTACGTAGCCTTTACTACTGTAGAATATATTGCAACTCAAAATAAAATCGTCAGATGTAAAATTCTTGAAGTGCGTAAAGACAATATATTCTGTCATTAATAACTTTAGGTGTTTCTTACAGGTCATATAAAAACTATCATAACGTCTACTTAAGCTGTTTTACTTTTCAGCCTATCCAGTAGTTCTCTGTATTAGTGTAAACTTTCTATAAGAATCGCAAAAAAAAAAAAATCCTAAATTTCCGCATATATTTTTCAATGATGTTTTAAATTATTCATTGACTCTTTATTAAGTCTCCACCGTTCTTATCTTAGAGTTTATATATGAGACACAACAACTGCTCCTCGTAAACTTCCTCCATCACCGTAAACACTCCCTCTGTCACCATCAATTCACCACCATCACCATCTATCTTATCTCTATGGTGTAGGTGAGCGTCTACAGATACTACGAGCTTCACACTGATTACCCCTCGACTACAGGCCTCCCCAGACGTCTCTATTACCTAGGATCATCAGGTCTCAAGGGGGAGCCAGGGGAACGCACCAGAAGTAATTAGCATGGATATATGGCTATTGTCCTTGGCTTCCCTCAGTCAAGGCCTCTATGTAATCCACGTAATGAAGTCGCCGCCTTCCTGTTAGTTAGGGGGAGTCTTTGTGTCTCTTAGCTAATGCTGGAGACGCCGCCCCGCTATACACTGTTGGATTATGTAGCTCTGTCAGGCTCAGTGTCCGTTATTTGTCGAGCTTAAAGTTTTTATTTGTTGGGATAGTTTGGTATTTTGGGAAGTAAGAGAACCCTTGTACTTGATTATCTTTTGTTCTGTTTTGGTTATCTGTACAGTAGACGACCTGCAGAGACTCACTTGTTTCTCTTACTATTCACAACACAACATACATATATTGTTTCTCAATTTTGTTCTTTTTTCTTGTTTTTTCTTTTTTCTTTGTGGTTTATTATTATTATTATTATTATTATTATTATTATTATTATTATTATTATTATTATTATTATTATTATTATTAGTGTTATTTTTATTATTATTATTATTATTATTATTATTATTATTATTACAGTGTTATTTTTATTATTATTATTATTATTATTATTATTATTATTAATATCATTATTATTTTCATATGTTATTTTTAATTGTGCATTTTTTTATTATAAATTTTATTTACTATGAATTATTATTATTACATTTTCGCCCCCCAAGCCTCGATGTGGGTCAGTGACCTGTGCCTGGGTGGGCTAATCTCTGTTAAAAAAAATAGCTGCTTATCATCTACGTCTAACTCATTTTTAAGAAATTTCTTATAAGTCAGGAGGTTATGTCTATCGATCATCACAAACATCTGAAGCATTACTACCGCCGTCACAACACTGGTCTCAGTGGCACACACACACACACACACACACGTAAGTTACAAGTCCTCTTATTGGTGAAGTCGTTTACAAACAGTGAGAACATCACACACACATTGTAGGAGCCGGAAAATGAAAAAAATATATATATACATTAAGAAGTATAATTGGCTCTTCTGGTACACCATAATGAATACCGTTGTTTACTGCTTCACTACAAAGAGTATGTCTTTATCACTCTAGTCAGTAAAGCCTAGGAACGTACAGTAAGTGAGGTGTAGTGTATTTTACAGAATTAGTTAACACAAATTAACATTCCTAAAATCTTTAAAATTACCTCAGTGATTAAATGTTTGTCAATCTTATAAACATAGATATAAATGTACAGTACACTAATTATATAAATACTAAAAATAACTATATGCAAATGTGATCATATATCCAGATGAAGAAATAAAACGATAATTCTGTGCATAAGATAATAAGGATAGTCAAAGAATAATTCATAGTTGTGTTAATGTTGGGTTTGTCGTACACCCAGCTGTGTGTTTAATGAGATATATTAAAGAGAACTAACCTCAAGCGGAAAAATTCAAACGCTTACTTAGGCAGTGAAGAGAAGTATCATTAAACTTTGGTCTGAGAAACGCAACCAAAAATACCTATAAAGGTTTTAAGAATTTATCCGTCAGGGCCTAACTAACTACAACTAGCAATAAAAATACGACAACAAACTCCTCAGGGATCAGTGTGGATCAGGATGGAGACAAAACATGAACTCTGTTGAGCCATAGAGACGTGAGTGTGTTAACATTGTCCAGGGCGCCATTAAGATCATTAGGTAGGAAATGTACAGGGGAATCACAGTCAGAGGGAGGTTCTTCGGCACTAACACTCGGGGCTCAATGACCACTACACTCGGGGCAACAGACGAGTATGGAGCTTTAGGATTTACAATTAGTCCCTCTCATACACCCGAGGGAGCTTCTCGCCACCGTTCCTTCTCCCCCGTGTTTGTGCCCGCGTCAGATCGGTGAGTTGAGTACCGCGTAACTTGAGGGACTGAGGTAATTTACCTCTAAGTGGCCTAGGAGGAGCGCTAAGTTTAACTCTCGTCCCCAGAGTCCTGTAGGGAACTGCTGCTCGTTTAAGCCTCGTATATCTCTCAGCCTGAGAAGCTAATTGTCTTAAATATCCTCGTATTCCGTTACGACCAGGCCATTACTGTCCAGAGCTTCCCCCCTGAAGACTCTGCTTTTAATGGGTTTCACCGGGAATTTGTGAAAACTACTAAAAATTCCTTCACAATCAGCGTTGGAGGCCTTCATATTTTTTCTTTCTTTTTTTCTTTTAGTGTGAAGAAGTTTGAGGATATCTGTTAGGTCGGATTGGCTATTTTTAATTTAGAACCAAAATTTTCAGAATATGTCCAAGTTCTGTGAGCGCCACCCTCCCCTCGGTGTGACGGAGAACCATTACCGTCATCACATCACTAGACGTAAATTTTCATTTTAAAATCAACTGGATTAATGAAAAACTATTACATTCTCTTTGGAATGGATTATACTCATACAATCCACTCTCTCTAACCTGTAGACTATTGACTCCACTAGAGAGAGTAACGGTAGCACCTTATGAGAACATTTCAACAAACAGTGTAAAAGTCTAGCATGATAATATGTTCACTCTTAATTACCGGCACGGAGCTGAAGGCTTAATCTTCACTCAGGTAGACAGACACAGGTACTGCACATCTCTCACTGTTTAGATTAATTGAAGTTTAGATCATCATATGACTAATATTTTTTTTATACGACTAAAATAAAAAATAAATCCGGAACGTGAAAGGGGTTGTGTAAAACAGGTTAGGTTACGTTACGTTCCGTTACGTTACATTAATATACAACTGTCTTAAGTCTTGGTAAATTATTAAGTTGTTTATATGCTTTAACTAAACAATTAATTCAAAGACCGAAAGATATTTAAAATTACAGCAATTACCACACCTGTATATATATATATATATATATATATATATATATATATATATATATATATATATATATATATATATATATATATATATATATATATATATATATATATATATATATATATATATATATATATATATATAGTGTGAATTAGATTTATAAGAGACACACGAAAGAGGTGACAGTACAATTGATAACATGAAATACTGAAAATGTTTGAAAAGGGAAAATAATTATTTTTGAATACTATCAAGAGAATAAAAGTAAGGGAAGTATTAAAAGAGCTTGTCGGCTTCCACTGTTGCTAACGCTCCGTGAAGTATGTGTAATACAGCATTACCTTGGCTCTTTGATATTTATTGAATGGATGCGTGTAGTCATGGAAGTGAAAGTGAGAGTGGTAGAAGAAGATGCAACTCTTATGAATGCTTAATATAGGTGTGAGTCAATAGGGGAATTTAGATAAAAAAGATAAAATTTTAAGTGAATGAAATTGATAACGTGTTTACTAGTGAAAAATCGTATATATTTTATATTCTTTTTTATATTATAATTTTCATAGAAACGGAGAAGTAAAATAACCATATAGTCTTGCATAAATAATGTTTTATTATACTAAACTTATATACAATGAGGACATCAAGTCGAGGCCAGAGGGTGCCACGAGGATATCAAGTTGAGGCCAGAGGGTGCCACGAGGACATCATGTCGAGGCCAGAGGGTGCCACGAGGACATCAAGTCGAGGCCAAAGGGTGCCACGAGAACATCAAGTCGAGGCCAAAGGGTGCCACGAGAACATCAAGTCGAGGCCAGAGGGTGCCACGAGAACATCAAGTCGAGGCCAGAGGGTACCACTTTGTGTTTATTATTTATAATGTGGTTTTGGCAGTAATTTACTTATGGTAGGCGGGCGTATAAACATTGTGGACATAAGGATTTGAGTAATAGCTTTGACCCACGCCATGATCCACAACAAAACCAACTACCCCATGCCCATGACCTGCCCCATGGCCAATACCTACCCCGTGGCCAATACCTACCCCGTGGCCGATACCTACCCCATGGCCGATACCTACCCCATGACCTACCCCCCCATAACCTGAGCCGTGACCGTCATCAAATACGTGGATACTGTGATCAACTACATGGGCGTCATGGGTTACATCATGGGCCACTACATGGTCTACACCGTGATGACCAAAGCCTCCACCATGATGACCATAGCCTCCACCATGATGACCGTGACCCACTACGTGACCTACACCATGGCCTACACCATGACCCACAACATGACCCACACCATGACCCACACCATGACCCACACCATGACCTACACCATGACCCCACACCATGACCCACAACATGACCCACACCATGACCCACACCATGACCTACACCATGACCCACACCATGACCCACACCATGACCTACACCATGACCCACACCATGACCACCGACCCACACCATCCTCCATAACCAACCCATGACCTACACTATGACCCACAACATGACCTACTGCATGACCACACCATGACCCACACCATGACCTACACCATGACCTACACCATGACCTACTGCATGAGCCACACCATGACCTACACCATGACCTACACCATGACCTACTGCATGAGCCACACCATGACCCACACCATGACCACACCATGACCTACACCATGACCTACACCATGACCTACTGCGTGACCCACACCATGACCTACTGCATGACCCACACCATGACCTACTGCATGCGCCACACCATGACCCACACCATGACCTACACCATGACCTACACCATGACCTACACCATGCCTACACCATGGCCTACTGCGTGACCCACACCATGACCTACTGCATGACCTGTAGCATGACCAACTGCATGACCTACTGCATGACCTGTAGCATGACCTACTGCATGACCTGTAGCATGACCTACTGCATGACCTGTAGCATGACCTACTGCATGACCTGTAGCATGACCTACTGCATGACCTGTAGCATGACCTACTGCATGACTCTCAGCGTGACCTACTGCCTGACCTACAGCATGAGCTACTGCCTGACCTACAACATGACTTACAGCTTGACCGACGCCGTGACCTGCCGCATGACCACCGCCATGACCTACTGCATGACCCCCACCATGAGCAACACCATGACCTACCGCATGACCCCCACCATGAGCAACACCATGACCTACCGCATGACCTACTGCATGACCACCACCATGTGCTAGACCGTGACCTAGTCCAACTCCCACGCCGTGTCCGAAACGGTGTCCACCAGCGAGTCCGAAGCCGTGTCCACCACCATGTCCGAGGCCGTGTCCACCAGCGACTCCGAAGCCGTGTCCACCACCATGTCTGAAGCCGTGTCCACCACCATGTCCGAGGCCGTGTCCACCACCACCATGTCCGAAGCCGTGCCCACCGCTGGCTTTGGATTTTGCTTTGGCATCGGGGTCGGCTTTGGCAGTAGCCTTGGCATTGGCTTCTGGTTTAGCGTCCCTCTTCACAATGCCATGGTAGGGCAAGTAAGAGTTGGCATTGTATGGGTAGTAAGACACTCCGTACCCCACGATGTTCCCCAACCCTCCGTGACCGTATCCATGACCGTGTCCGTACCCATGGCTAATTCCATGGCCGTGCCCATGGCCAATGCCGTGCCCATGGCCAATGCCGTGCCCGAATCCCACGCCATGACCGATTCCTGCTCCATAACCGTATCCTATGCCATGTCCAAGACCATGTCCAAGACCGCCATGTCCAAGACCGCCATGTCCAAGACCGCCATGTCCAATACCGCCATGTCCAAGACCGCCATGTCCAATGCCATGCCCAATACCGCCGTGTCCATGACCGCCGTGTCCATGACCACCGTGTCCAGAGGTGAAGCCATACTCGGACACGTAGTCATGAGTTCCTCCATGACCATAACCAATGTTGTGCCCGTGCCCATGTCCAAAATCATGTACACCTCCATGACCATATCCCAAGCCATGACCTTGAAGGACGTGTCCAAGACCTAAGCCATGACCGTGTCCCAACCCATGACCGTGTCCTAAGCCATGTCCATGTCCTACTGAGTGGCTAACGACGTGGCCGACTGAGTGTCCAACGGCGTGACCGTGGCCTATGCTATTTCCATGGCCGATGACGTGACCATGTCCACCGGGGTCGGCCTTTGCTTCACGTTTTTGATGTTCAGCTTCGCCTGGAGTGGGGTCAGCCTCACGCTTCTGCAGTTGGGCTGACGTAGCTGAGACCAGGAACAAAGCAACCTGGAGAGGAAGTTAGGTTAGATTAAGTTAGGATAAGTTAAGTGGCTTAGATTAAGTAAGGTTAAGTTAAGTTAAATTAAGGTAGGTTAGGTTAAGTTAGGTTAGTTAAGCCATTATCAAGTTGAATTACATATAAAGAGCGACTTACATATTATAATACTATATACTACTTCCTTCCTCTTCATGACCACCGTTTACGTAACAGTGAGAGAGATATAGCATAACTAATTGTCAAGTATGTATTAGGGTAAAGGGGATTTAATCATTAATTATTCTCAAACTGTGGGCTAATACAACTAACTATTCAAAGTCAAGTGAGTTATTAAGTGGTTGGTTCATCATCTTTACATCTTGCCACATTACCAATAAAAACAAAGAATAAATAATACCATCTAAAAAAAAATGAAAATAAAGATGTTAGGAATATGACCACAGAAAATAGGATCATATTAGAGCCAATTTTAAAGGTACACACGCCATCGAAAATACTATAGATATAGGAGTCTTAATTGGTGAATGACACAGTGTAGGAGATGTGTTATAAGGAAATCACCTTAACCGATATAAACTTCTTGAGAAACGCATCAACTGGATCTTCATGGGAGTTATTATATATTAAGGAACAGGACAGAACAATAGTCCTCGACGTGACTTAAAATAAAAAGAAATTAAAATCTTAATGCTTTACTTCATTTAAAAGGAACAAATAGTTGAACACGAGTAAGAATATCCCACATAATATTATAGAGTTATTCAACTTATATTTTTCAGACATTAAGCTCTTAGGGGTGATTTTGTATAAGCATAGACGTGGGGACTCTATTTATCACTGAGGGAGGACTATTGCTTGTGGTGCTTCTTAAGTTTTAATGGTCATATTCCGCCTCTTTATATTAGCTCGACACATATTCTCTGCGTGTTCTCTTTCTTCTTTGTATATGGAGGGAAAGTTCGGGGTGGTGGCCAAGACCTGCGTGACAAGGTCGTCTTTACGCGCCGTGCTTCAGGACTGAATACTGTACACGTGTTTACGCTAAGTGATTTCACCCTCTCTAGATAATCACACTATGTTATTCTTGGGGGGGAATATCTGTGAAAAGTGTGTGTGTGTGTGTGTGTGTGTCAAATAAATACCAATAAATGTGTGGAAACGCTTGATATTCTGTTGTGTAGTTTTTATGCATATTTACCTTTGATAGTTCTGTGTACCTGTACTTCCTATGGTGGTGAATGACATCTAATTCAAGAGCTATCATAAAAAACTAAATTGATTAGACAGCTACAGCGTCAGCTACAGAAAATGTTCTACAAACTGTAAAGGTTAACAGGTGTCAGATATATTGTCAAGTGTTGAGCTGAAGGTACTACTCACCAGGATCCTCATGGTTGCTGTTGGCTGCGTGTTGAGCGACTGATGACAATGAGGGTGAGTGAGGTGGCTATATACTGCTGCACCTCGTCGCGGGTCACCTGAGCCATCACCAGGTGACCATAAACTTCCCTAGTCACGACACCTTCACTATATCTATTTTTCGTGTACTTGGATTCCCAGCGGCCCGGAGGTGCATGTAAGGCTGTTCTACATGACCCGTTCTGGGAGTGAAACTAATGTGTTCACGGCAAGAACGTTATCATAGTCCGCCTGTCAGGGAAGCTCTCCAAGAACAGGTCACGTTAAGGAAAACGACTGTGTGCAGTTTGTTGAGTGTCAGAGAACACCCGGGATACACCTTAAGGTTTACTGGACACTTGTGATGTAAAATTGCATTATTGTTCTCGAGGGAAATTTTAACTGAATACTGACAAAACTTGGTCACGTATGAAGCCGAATATAAGATACACTGGTTAAAATAATCTGAACAAGTCAAATTATTTTTATTTTTTTTTGGGGGGGGGGAGGGGAGTCTTGATGTCCTTACCAAGTTTTTAGGTTAGGTTAGGCTAGTTAAGGACAGATGCAAAGAACGTGATTTAACATTGTAATTACCGATATTTTATCCCATAAGTCTAAAAATCCCCGCCACAGTTATACCACCATGATATAGTTTAATGGGTATATGATATAGTGAGGTGTTGGCTGATATACAAGTACAAACGTCAACAATTCTCGCCATGAAGTTTTAGGTTAATGGCCTCCCAAACCCTGAGATCCGGGATAATACAGACATAAAGGTGATGTATTATAGATGAATTTATGACTTTGCCAGTCATCTTGGGGCTGCTTACAGACAAGTGACGTGGGGAGATTCTTAGCCGGCGCTGGAGGACGTTCTGCTAACTCACTCCTGAACCTGGCAGTTTGAGCCAGTAATTATACTCTATGATATAGCAGTATGCGCCCCGTGATAAGTTTCATTGTCACATTACATAATATTTTACCTCACCTGTCACGAGAAGTGATGGCATTTATAGATGACAATTTATGTCATGAGCAGAGTTTTGTTGTTTGGTTTGTTTCATTTGAGGTGATATTTTGTCCTTATTTTATTGTTTAATATTTTATTGTCATTGGCCGGTGTTTTGCTTTCTCTGATATTAAGTCATTACTTAATTGGCTAAAATAATTAATGTTGAAGGCTGATAAACACCTTGTAAATTATATTATCATTAGATGTCCTATTAGAGCCATGAATATATAATTATTTGACATTAACGCGAATATTAGAACAATGACTTGGAACACTTCGATGAAGCAATTTCCATTTTACTTCTAAACTTGCATATATATATATATATATATATATATATATATATATATATATATATATATATATATATATATATATATATATATATATATATATATATATATATATATATATATATATATATATATATGAGAGAGAGTGTGTGTGATTTTCCTAGTGGATATCTTATGTTTACTTTTTCTTAAAACAATATTTTTTTCTCCATTATTTGCCGGCAAGAGAAGGTCTCACAGCCACCCATCACTGAGCATCCAGAAAAGAACATATCAGGGAAGTGTGTGTACGAACGACCACAGTCTGACTTGTTTGTGAGGGGCCACGGAAACTGGGGATCAAGTTGGGGTCTGTTATGAGTAGCCAACCTTGATTGGCCTCGTTCCAACCTCTGTTTTAGGCAGGAAAACAAATTTATGAAGCCCATCCCTTCCAGTATCAACACAGATTTATTTGAGCACTGACTAAATTTCTCCAAATAATTAGATATTGTTTTTTACCTAATCGGATAACATGACTTGTGAGAAGTTTTGTCAGCTATCTTTTTATTTCTTATATGCGTAATTTAACCTCTAGAATGGTGTATCATCCACACAATGGTGGCTCAAAGATCTAAAAAAAACGACATTTAAGAAAAATATTTCCTTTAAGTGGACAACAGTAAGAGGATTATCTTTATCTTGGTAGCTCTGCCCCCAGCCAAGTCGTCCCTCTGTGTGTCTGATACAACACAAGTATCAAGAGCTCGGGTGTTATAGGAGAAATTACAGAATAGTCGACCGAGCTTTTGGGGGAGCAGGCGGGTGATTGGTAGTCTATCTTTACATGATGATCAGTGTTGATTACATGTTTACAAGTTGGCTGTTGTTGTCTGATGTACCGACGACATTCTTTTACAGCCAGGAAATACACACAAGGACCTAGGCAGTATTATCACAACTCACTAACTTACGGTAGGCTGTTGTTGTTGTTGTATGGGTGTTGTAGTCATAAAGTCAACAATTTAGGCTCTGACTAGTGTTAGGGAAGGAGAAAACACCTTTTGATGGTACTTGTTGCGGTGTGTTTGTAGGAGTCGGTGAAGGGAAGTAAACTCGATAAGGCTTTAGGTTTATCACAGTTCTCTCTTGATGGTTCCATAGGTAAGGCAATACTTGAGATTGATCCAGGGTGATGGCTGGTAAGACTGTATCATGTTGGCACAGACTGCAACCTACCAGAGCTAATGTATGGATATGGCTCTGTTCTGTTCGCTGAGTCCAGAGAGAAAACGGCCACGTAATGGGAACTGATGACACTGGCAGAGGAGGCAGTGATGAGTTAACAACGCCTACCGGAGCTAATTGCTGCTGTGTGGAAGAGATGGTGACTCGCAGTGATAATAGCATGAATTAGAAGAATAGTTATGACCGAGTATAGATATTTGGTGAGGTAATATTCAACTAGGATCGATTTCAGGGTCTCTTAGTGACGCTAATATTTTTTATTTATGAGTTTTTTTTTGCTCTAATTCAATTTTGTCTACATAGCACCAAAATTTATTTAATTCAATGCTACTGTAGTACTCAGTAAGTGTGCAAGGCTTAACTGAAACTGAATTATCATTAATTTGTAAATATACAGTATATTTAAGGATTTCTTTTTAGTATACTTAGTTGATATTGTCTCGCCGAACCATAAGTCTCCCACTTCGTTAAGGGAACTTTTGGTTTTTCGTGTTTCCACAAAGTTTTTATCGTACCCAGATGGAGAATTAAAAAAAATAAAAAATCCAGTGAAAATACAAGAAGAGAATGTTTTGTAGGCATGCCTTAGGGCAGGTGAAGGGAGGGAGGTCGCCAGCCTCTGTTTGCACTGGCAAGGAAGGAATGCAGCAGCCATAAAACTTTATTAATACTTTTCCGGAGCAGTTCGAGAGCTTCTAGGATCTCGTGGACCCAGACAAGGAGGATGGAGAGCTTCATGAACTGCTGAAGCCTCTTGGTCCTCAACGTGAGCTTAGCGTGAGGATGGCACCAACTCCGGCCATTTCCTCCGTCAAGAAGTTTTAGTTGTCGATCGGTTAAGGGTGGTGGCTGGAGGTGGGTTGAGGGGGCGCTCATTTTTCGTTCGGGCAGTCCGTCCTCTCCACTCCACTCCGGGAATCAATAGACTGTTTGTGTCACTCCTTCTTTCTCTTACATTTATCTTGTTTTATTTATTTCCCATGCTCTTCTTCCAGTCTTCCAAACTAATTATGTCTCTTCTTATCTGTTTGTTTATTAGTCTCTCTCTCTCTCTCTCTCTCTCTCTCTCTCTCTCTCTCTTCTTTTTAATCTCCACTTTCCATTACATAAAATATATATCAGTTAACACAAAGACACTTATTAGAGAACCAACATTTGCACACACACACACACACACACACACACACACACACACACATTTTTCGAAGTCCAAATTATCTTTATATAACAGATGACGTTAGAACACATGTAAATGGCTAACTTCAAAACACAAAAAACAACTTCACACATAACATCAGTTTTTACACTGAGACTCAACCATTAAGTCGCTTCAGTGCGTCGCTCCAGCACCTGGGAATAAATACGTTGACTGAATAAAGTTGCGTCATGTTACCTTAATCATTAAAAATAGCAATATGACGTTTATATGTGAGTTTTAGAGGCATTATATTAAAGAAAATATATTACAGTTTTAAAACTTCGTATGTACTAGTGTTGTTTATGGAGTTCATATATTATACTGTACACGTGTTTACGCAAAGTGATTTCACCCTCTCTAGATAATCACACTATGTTATTCTTGGGGGGAATATTTGTGAAAAGTGTGTGTGTGTGTGTATATGTTTATCTACATGTGTGTGCATTTATATGTGTATGTCTATATATATGTGTGTGTGGGTGTATAGAATTTTTGGTATGCACATAAAAGTATAATGTTACATCATTATTACCAGCCAGGTAACGAGTAGATAATCAAGGTAACTCAGGTATATCTCCCGACATGGTAGCACTATACTCTTCTCAGATATGCTAGAGGGATGTTATTGTTGTTGGCATAATGGCTTAGTTCACTTTAACAACTAAGGTCTTTTAAGTGCGTAGTCCAGGTGAGCTCAAGAGACAAATCACCTGAGCACCAACCAACACATTGCTGCCATGAATAACAGTTATTATGGTAGGATTTTTTTTCATGTTTTTATAGTAATTATCATTTTGATTTTTGTTTTTATGTTTTGAGGATGAGTGTTTAGTGATGATATATAATTATGTATTAATTAATCTTAGGTGAATAAAGTAAGATGTAAAGTGTTACTTCCTCTCACTAGCGGGTCTTGTCTCCAGTGTTAAGGCGGGTACAGAAAGTTCAGTGAAAGATAATTGATTTATTAACATAAATACAGCACATGTAGCGGGTGTACTTAGTGGTGTCCGTAGCCACCACGTCCGTATCCGTAGCTGTGTCCGCCGTGACCGTACCCTAGGCTGTGGTAGGGGCTGACGTAGGAGTGTTTCCTCTGGAAGGAGAGACCGTGGCCAGGATGCTCCACGGCGGCCTTGTATCCATAGGCTGCTCCGTGTCCATATCCGTGGCCATGTCCAATTTCGTATGACTGTACCTCACCATGACCATAGCTGTGGCCATAACCGTGTCCGTGACCGTGACCATGTCCGTGGATGTGGCTTACAAGGTGACCACCATGATGACCACCATGGCCTCCAATATGACCACCATGATGACCACCATGGCCTCCAATGTGACCACCATGATGACCACCATGGCTTACAACAACGTGACCACCATGGTGACCACCATGGCCTCCAATGTGGCCACCATGGTGACCACCATGGCCTCCAATGTGGCCACCATGGTGACCACCATGGCCTCCAATGTGGCCACCATGGTGACCACCATGGCCTCCAATGTGGCCACCATGGTGACCACCATGACTTACAACAACGTGACCACCATGGTGACCTCCAATGTGGCCACCATGATGACCACCATATCCCCCAATGAGGCCACCATGATGGCCACCATGCCCACCATGATGATCGACATGCACTGTTTCAGTGACAACTACATGCCCATGCCCGTGATCTCCACCATGACCAATACCATGGCCAAAACCATGTCCTAACCCATTACCATGGCCGAAACCATGTCCCAGCCCATGACCATGGCCGAAACCATGTCCCAGCCCAAGACCGATGCTATGGCCCAGGCCATGACCATGACCGCTGCCGTACGAAGGCTCAGCCTCCCGCTTATCTTTGGCTGACACGAAGGCGGCCAACACGACGACGATCTGAGGGCAGAGGGAGAGAGGGTGGAGGGTGGTTGTGTGCTGCTCTTCAGGTGTATAATGTTTAAGAGTCCTCTGCCTTAATTAATGTGCCTAATTAACATTCATGTTATAAGTCACAGAAAACAGTAATTATCCAGAAGTCCTCACTATTGTATCTTAATCTACAAGAATGCCATTGAAAAGCTCTTCTTTGAATATGATGATAATTAAGTGTTATGTTAGTAAAGGAAATATATGAATCTGAGTTTAATTAAACACTAACAAGAAATCTCTAAGAAATAAATCTTCGTGTTATATTTTCCTTTAAACTTAAGGACTTGAGAAGAATGCTAAGTCCTCTCTGAGCATCTACTCTTTTTCATCATAAACTTATCCATAACAATTTCTTCCGGTGGTCGCGGTTCACACAAATACGAATCTTTCCTTTAGTTAATTTCTATAGAGAGAAGGCAGGTTAAAGTAACTAATTTTTCTAACTCATTTCACTTGTTATTATAAACTCGACTTGGTACAGACTTCCACGGGGTATTATGAGTGAACACAGTGAACTCACCAGAGTCCTCATGGTTGTAGGTGTTGGCTGAGGCACCGGGATGGTGTGTGGCCATAGTTGGGGTCGCTGAGCTTATATACTCAAGCTACGCAGGACCGACCCCAAACCCCCCCCCTCCAAACGCCCCCGATCCCTCCACACAGTGCTACTTAGTCCTGGCTCCTTGGTTCCCATCCCCTCCCACTCTACCTACCTCCCTGTGCCCCCCTTTTCCCCTCCACCACCTTCTCTCCCTGTATCCCCCTCCCCTCCCCTCTCATCTCACATGACTGCCCACACTCTCACCTCTCGCGACATGTGAGAGTCACTGTCAGTGTTCTCGCGAATACTCGATGTCTGCTGAACTAAGACCAATCCGTCATATTCAAGGAGCTACTCAGACATAATTCACTTTCGTTATACAAATGTAAGTTCATATACAGTTACTCTTAAGGTTAAAGTTATCATTAACAAAATATTTTATCAATTACGTACAGTATATAATTTAGATATTGATATTGAAACAGTTTATTTAGCCAGAAGAACACAGATACAGAGTCTGTATAAATAACACTATTAACATGGCTGAGCCAGTTGAGAATCTGAGCTCTCTTCAAAATCTAGGATGTGTCTTATTTCTTGGGTACATAAAGTATTTTTCTCTTTAGGTTAATTAGGTTGATTATGTATATTGTGGATTAAGGTTTCTGCATAACTTCATCTGTTTTTCTGACGGGGTCATGCCAGGGGCCAGCAGTAGTAAGTTCATCCTGCTAATAGCGTTCTATTTAGAAGAAATTATAATTCAGTATCATTACAATAGTTGTTCCCTGCTGTATAACTGTAATATACAGTTAGTAAAAATTTTACAAAAAATCGCATATATCGCCACCATTCAAGCAACAATGGCGCCTCCTACCAGGACCATGTTGGCTCCAAGGAGCATCGGGGTCACACAAATTATATATATATATATATATATATATATATATATATATATATATATATATATATATATATATATATATATAATGTTCTTATTTATAAAGTTATCTTTATATTTCACTACAGCGTGTGTGTGTGTGTGTGTGTGTGTGTGTGTCATTAACACACTGAAGGAGCTCGTCCTTGATACCAACAACTATTGATATTTTCTCACAACTATCGTTGAATAGATAACCAGAACTGTTTGAGGGGTGTCCGTAATGCACCGGTACACAGCAGGGGTTGTGTGTGGCCCTGAGTGACATGCCTATGTCATATTAACTTATTCACTCTACTATTTTATATATATATATATATATATATATATATATATATATATATATATATAATGTGTGTTCGTTAGTGACCAGGCGTATCTGGTATGCACACATCGGCGTCTAACATTGAAAGTATCAAACGAGTTTAATTTATTGACTAAATTCTGAATGTTAATCATCTTCAAAACTTTTGATAATAAATACCAGGCAATGGGAGCAGAAAACAAGAGGGCAATACAAGGATAAGAGTCAACTAACATAATGTACATCGTCTTGGTGTAGTTGCCAGGCCTCGTGACACCCATATAAGAAGGAAAATAAAAAAGACATCAACAGTATCGTAATAATCCACCGTGAGCCATTAATAATTCCTTAAGTTAAGAGTTCATTATTGTTCTTACCTGTCTGCCGGTAGTAAAATAGATCCTGTATCTATTTCATTAAAAGTAAAATTAGTTTAGAGAAAAAAACTATCTAAAAACAATTGAACTAAATGATCACACGTTGCCTCTACTATTACTTTGTTTTCAATGGAATAACAAAAACTATATAAATGTTATAATTAAATGAAATCGAAAGTAAAGGATTATAGCGATAAATTGAGAATTTCCTAAAACTCACTTTTTTTTTAACTCGGGAAAAGTGTTCAATAAATGACACAAATTTAACTGAAAATCATGAGTTATTTTTATTTAAAGGCGACATGATAAACAGTTAACTATCAGTATAATTTCAACTCATATGTCAATTGTGTAGAGTAATTACTTAGTTAATCAGGCGTGACGTACAGAGTAATCAGATCGTGCCAATAGGTATTTTAGTCAATTCTATTTAAATTAAATTAATCTAATCTAGCACCCGGTTCTATGATAAAAATTCGACCATGTTAGACCGAATAAACTCATATTACCACAGTTTAAAGATATTACATTATTATTATTATTATTATTATTATTATTATTATTATTATCATTATTATTATTATTATTATTATTATTGTTATTGTTATTGTTATTTTGACACAAGTTTAGAAGAATGAGTAGCGTTGACTTTTGTTTTCACTTTTCGTAGTGATGCTTGTACCGGTAGTGGTATCGAAGATTAATTTAGTTTTTAATTATTAATTTCTCTCCAGGTTATTTTTTTTATGCTATTGATAGAAAAATTGTTTTGTCTTTATTATATTTTAATGTTTTATCGGTTTATTGCTTTTGTAAGGCGTTTCAAAATGGGGTGAATTATCTTGGGTGGGTCATTGGTAGGGTAGGTCAGTAGCAGGGTGGGTCAGTAGCAAGATGGGTCAGTAGTAGGGTGAATCAGTAGCAGGGTGGGTCAGTAATAGGGTGGGTCAGTAGTAGGGTGGGTCACTAGTAGGGTGGGTCAATAACAAGATGGGTCAGTAGTAGGGTGAATCAGTAGCAGGGTGGGTCAGTAACAGGGTGGGTCATTAGTAGCGTTGGCTAGTAGCAAGGTGGGTCATTAGCAGGGTGGGTCATCAGCAGGGTGGGTAGGTGGGTCAGTAGCAGGGTGGGTCAGTAACATGATTGTTAATGATAACTAATCTCCGCCTCTAGTCGACTGGGTCAGTGACAGGTAACCTTACGCTCAACATCACGTCAGATCAGTCGGCCACACTCAATGCTCGCCAGCACACACACACACACACATTCCTCCCTCTAGTGTGTGCAATATATTATGTCCTCACGCAGGGCCGTTCACTTGTACTTCTCCGTAACATTGGACACTCAGCAATAATCTCAATGCCATTCTGTGCTGCCGCTCCCTTGAATATACCGTAACATATTGTGATATTATCTAACTTAAGTTTTAACCCAGTTTGTAGGAGATTAAGCTTTGTTAGGATTACATAGCATTGTTGATGTGTTATATTCTGTTAAATTAAGTTGATTTCCTCTGAGATTTACCCCCCCCCACCCCCAAAATAAAGGTTATCTCTGTTAAATAACTATTAATATGGCTTACTCGACTTATTATACAATCAAACGTACGAGTTATATTAGTCTTTTAGGTGTCTTGAGGTTAAAAAACTATACTGTAACTATTGTAATTTTGATTTATTTTTGTTGTCAATCATATTCCTCACAATGTAGCTGTATAAAATGGTAAGTCGCTGCAGAATTAATAGTAGTTGTGCTTGAGACTAAATTAGTTCTTGTAAAAATATGATCGCGGTTCCTCGTGAACACATTTGTATAATTAGTATTTAGTATTAGAAGTGTTCAAGGTTTACCATACATCCGATAATTGTTTCAGGATATTTTCTCCGTATGTGAGGGAACGCATCAGTCCATATCGATTATAATTATAAGAGAGGGGATATTTCAGTGATAACGATGTGAAACTTAATGGAACTAGGTTGAAGAGTAATGGAGCACCGGATTGACCTAGACACAGATGTTATGTCAAAATTTGGACAAATCTAAACCTTTGTTAAACTGGTCTGGTAAGGGCAGGTGAAGGTCAGGATGCTATAATAGTGTTTGTTAGATCATAGTTTAATGATACAAACATAATACAAAGGTTAGTGTACTGTTATAAAAACATACGTATAATTGTACTGTACAGTACATACTGTATCATTCTTCTACTTGTAATCTACTCTGTGCCTGTACTTGGCAGGGCACTGTGCTCTTAATAGTGTGTTCCTTCTGACTTACCTCTAACAGGTAGAGAGATGATATATTACATTGTTAACTTTTCTTCGTTCACGTGATCAAAATTCTGGAAGGACTCCAGTGGGAATGTTAGAATTATCAGTTGCGTTCCACATTAGTTTTGGGTCATTGAATCGAAGTAACATTCTTCTCAGGAGTGAGACCAAGATTGTATATATATATATATATATATATATATATATATATATATATATATATATATATATATATATATATATATATATATATATATATATATATATATATATATATATATATATATATATATAATTTTTTTTTTTTCAAAATTAGTTTACAATAAATCCCATTTCATAACCCACCAAAACAGTTTTATTCATCCAAAACCGGGTCGAGGCAATACATTTTTATATTTCAACGAGATATGGATATTGGAAAGGTCACTTTCACAAAAAAATATATGATATTGTGTGTTGTGTAGTAATATTGATTACTTTTGATGGTTGCTGAGCTGTAGATTTGTAAACGTTGTTGACAAAGCAAACGAAAAGTTATTGTTGAACTTATTTATTGCCTTTTTTATAAATGTTATGAGTTTTTCGGGTATACATGCCTGTATATGCTGTACATGGTGCACACTTTGGCAAAAATGTCCTTAAGGCACCATTATTCGCATCCTTTTGAAGTATAAACAAAAATTTATATCTTTCATGTTAATTGTTGAAGGACTTATTAAATTACTAAACTACTTGTTCGCTTAAACACCTTAGATGTTGAAGCTCAGTAATAACTCTTTAACGCCACGAAGTATAGACATGTAAGTAGTGTGAGGTTGGCGCCAGTGAATTCATTATATAGAATTTATATTTTGCTTTACTGAATATATGTAAATGACTACCGGCTTATATAACTTCACTTGACAAAATAAATAGTTTCACAATATAACACAACTAAATATTTACAAAGTTCTTCCATATATTTTACCTCCATCCATTATATATTCACTTCAGCAGGTAATACAAACAAAGGTATATTTGCCATCTTAATATGTATAATTTGTTTAAGAATAAAATATATACAAACATCATTTACAGGGTTACTCTTATATCACGTTCATTAAGCAACAAAATATTCATTCACAATATAAACAACAATTGGAGCATGGGAGTAACGGTTAGTATAGGTAAGGATACAATCTGACATTAACAAAACAAGGCGGACAGAAGACTAGTCGAGTACACCATAGGAGAAAGGGTTGTGGAGGAAGTTGTCTGAGAATCTAATGCCTGGTGTACTGTGTGGGGAGGCTGTGATGTGTGCCCCGCCATGACCTATTGCACCATCACCTAAACCTACTGCATGACTCACACCATGACCTGTAGAATGATCCACAGCATGACCTACACCATGACTCACAGCATGACCTACACCATGACCCACAGCATGACCTACACCATGACCCACAGCATGACCTACACCATGACCGACAGCATGGCCTACAGCATGACCTACACCATGACCTACACCATGACCTACATCATGACCTACACCATGACCTAAAGCATGACCCACAGCATGACCTACACCAACGCCCACAGCATGACCTACACCATGACCTACATCATGACCTACACCATGACCTAAAGCATGACCCACAGCATGACCTACACCAACGCCCACAGCATGACCTACCTGACACATCATGACCTACACCATGACCCACAGCATGACCTACACCATGACCCAGAGCATGACCCACACCATGACCCACACCATGACCCACAGCATGACCCACAGCATGACCCACAGCATGACCTACACCACACTGACCCACACCATGACCTACATGCATGACCCACAGCCCTACACCCGACCTACAAGGACCTTTACACCATCCACAGCATGACCTACACCACCTACCCCATGACCCAGAGCATGACCTACACCATGACCCGCAGCATGACCTACAGCATGACCTACACCACCCAGAGCACCTACACCATGACCTACACCTGACTCACAGCATGACCATGACCCACACCATGACCTACACCATGACCCACACACATGCAGCATGACCTACACCATGACCCAGAGCATGACCTACCCCATGACCCACCGCATACCACCACCATGACCCACACCGCGACCCCAGCATGACCTACATGACCTACACCCAGCATGACCTGCCCATGACCCACACCACCTACACAGCATGACCGACACCATGACCTACCTACACATGACCTATACAGACACCACACCATGACCTGACTATACAGACCCACACATACACCACTACCGCCCACACAGACCGACACCATGACCTACAGCATGACCTACATGACCACACCATGACCTACACACCTACACCACCCACATGACCTACCCACCTGACCTATGACCCCATGCCCAATGGCACCTGACCATGACCTACACCATGACCACAGCATGACCTACAGCCACCCACCGCATGACCTACAGCACCTGACCCACACACCTACACCATGACCTACATGACTCACAGCATGACCTACCATGACTCACAGCATGACCTGACACAGCATGACCTACACCATACAGCATGACCTACACACCCACACACCTACACCAGCATGACCCGCAGCATGACCTACACCATGACCCACAGCATGACCTACCCCATGACCCACACCATGACCATGACACCATGACCTACAGCTACACCATGACCTACACTATGTCCCACACCATGACTTACACCATGACCTACACATGACCTACAACATGACCTACATGGCCCAGACTTACACCATGACCCACACATGACCTACCATGACCCACACCATGACCTACACTATGGCCCACAGACTTACACCATGACCTACAGCATGACCTACACATGAGCCCTACACCATGACCACATGACACCGGACCTACACCATGACCTACACTATGACCCACAGCATTACCTACACCATGACCTACACCGTGACCTACACCATGACCTACACCGTGACCTACACTATGACCTACACCATGGCCTATACCATGACCTACACCATGACCCCCACCATGACCTACAGCATGACCTACGCCATGACCCACACCATGACCTACAGCATGACCTACACCATGACCCCCGCCATGACCCCTACCATGACGTACACCAAGACCTACACCATGGCCTACTATAGGTGAAGAGAGGCCAATGCCAAAACCTGCCAGTTGCTCATCGTTGTTATGGACATGTGCACCATGATCTACTGCGTGTACGTCATGCCCAGCAACATGTACAGATGCCTGTCTGTCATGACTCAATTCATGGCTTACCCTTGGACTAATGAAACCTGTATTGTAACTAAAAGCGGCAGGTACGCCCTCGTGAATTAATGAGCGCAGGTCGTGGCCAGCAAGCGGCCGGTTCTTGTGTACTTTTTGTACTTTGTGAGAGACGCTGTGGATCTTGCTGTCTACGCTGTGTAATTTATGATTTAACTTTCTATGAGGCCTTCGTACTACAACGTCTGCTGCATGGCGTCCAGCAGCCAGTACGGGTACTCCTCTTACGGGATGTCGTGCAGGTAGTCCGGCAGCTGTCCCGTGTGTTAGTTTGAGACCTCGTGTTGTTCCAAAGCCTACGGTATGGCCTGCGTTGAATGCAATATCGTTCTGGATGGCTTGATCAACGCTGAACCTTGGAACTCCCGTGGTGACCCCAACGCCATGGCCAGGACTCACTCCGACATGCAGCCCAAGGTTGGATGGATCAGCATCTGCCTTTGGTTTTCCCTTTGCCTTTGGTCCTGCTTTTGCTTTCGGTTCTGGCTCAGCTTCTCGCCTGCCAATTCCATGGCTGGTAACATATGATTTACCACCATTAGGATGAACAGCTACTACAACAGGACGAGTGCGGGTATATACTCCATGACCAAGATCGTTTTTGGTCTCTAATCCAAAGGCATGTCTGATAGCATGGCTCTGAGGAGGTACAAATCCGCCTCTCTGATGATGTCCATGAATCTGACCAAGTGAATGCCGGTAGCCATATTCCAGAGCCTCTTTATGACTGTTTATTAAGCCATGAGCAGGGACTAGACCGTGTCCAGGAAGAGGTCCTAAGTTATGTATGTGGTTATTATGTAAGACATGTGTTATATGCCCTGAATTGTGTTGTGCTTCTTGCTCATAGCCAAGACTCACCGAATGACCGGGACCGTGAAGAATGTTATGCTCCACAGTATGGCCCGTGACACCAGTATGCTTTATCACCGGTGCAAGAATAGGACCACGATGTAACACAGGAACTGGTAAAGGTACAGGGTTTAAGACAGGTGCATGTTTCACCACAGGTCCTAAAACTGGTGCAAGTCTTAATGCAGGTCCTGGCAGAGGTGTATGTCCTATTACAGGTCCTGGAAGAGGTGTATGTCGTATTACATGTCCTGGAAGAGGTGTATGTCGTATTACATGTCCTGGAAGAGATGTATGTCGTATCACAGGTCCTGGAAAAGGTGTATGTCGTATTGCAGGTCCTGGAAGATGTGTATGTCGTATTACAGGTCCTGGAGGAGGTCTGTTTCGTAACTGAGGTCTCAAAATAAGTTTACGTCTCAGTACGGGACCCACGACGTTATCATGTCTATATGGGACTCCCTGTAGAGCTCCGGGACCATGGGTGAGGAGAGCAGGTGACGACTCGGCTTCTCTCTTGTGTGTCGCGCCCACTGCACCAGCTAACAGGACCACAATCTGAGGGAGGGATCCACTTTCCAGTTTTATTGGGAGTTTCACACGCACTCACTTATATTCTGAAGTAACTAATTAGAACATGTTTTAGCATATTTATTAACACTGTAACTCACATTTCACAAATAAATTATGGAACTCAATAAATAATGCATTTTTTTTTAAGTTACCCTAACCTCTCCTAACCTCTCCTAAAATAATGGAAAGGTGAATATAAAAATGTAATCTACACAAAGCAATAGAGATAACTGAGGATTTTTCCTCACCCATATTTTTAGTGGTGGTCCTCGTGAAAGTATAGGGGCGAGGACCCTTGTGGTGGTGTGGCGGCAAACTGTACACTCTTACGCCCGTATTATTAAACAACATCTTCCCTTGAAGAGGGTCGTCGTGTTTCAACCCGAGTTTTAAATTAAATGAGTCCTGAGGGACACCGCAGTACAATACTTAACGGGGTGGTGTGGCGTTATAATTAACTAATTCCAATATTATTAATTAAGGTAATGCTACTTTGGTTTACTAAAGGCTGTGTCTCTTCAACTCCTTGCTTATTGGTCTAATTCATTGTATTCTCGTGGCTGGCATTTTGCTTTGGCGGTTAGTTAGAGCGTACATTAAAATCTAGATTGCTTGTTTTGTCTTGTTATTTTATGTTATGTTATGGTGTTGTAATTAATATCATAGACATGTAACGCTTAGAACAAATTGGTATATTCTTTGGGATAGACATATAATCAAGATAGCCTGTTATCTATATATCCGACGAAGTAATCACTGACAGAGAGGGAAAGTGTGTGTGTGTATAAACTCTCAGTTCAGTCACCAACACTGTGGGCACTGTTCATCACTCAGTCGGTAGTAACGCTTCACCACCACCTTCACTATCACCATCACTACCACCATCACCACAAGTAACCACCGCAACCACCACCCATCACAACCATCACTTTTCACCACCACTGCCACCTCCACCTCCACCACACCGTCACGCACTTGTAAATCCCCATCACTAAACGCTCCTCCTCCTCCTCCTCCTCCGGTAACATCTCCGACGCTGCCCAACTCACCAGGATCCTCATGTCTGTGGTCCCCTGTCTGATGGTAGACTGCTGACCGACACAAGCCGCGGTGACACTATATACCTGACGGTTCTCCTGATGCGGGTCACTGCTGGGGGAAGTCAAGTCATTCGCAATACCTTAAGACAATCGGTGAGAGGCGTCAAGGTGTCCCCGCTGCACGCGTCTGATGGCCAGGTAATAAGCACTGGCTGACGCTCTGTTCCGGTGGAGTGACTGTTGTTGTTTGTAGTCAACGTGTTCACAGGTGTTTCATTAAGCGATGTTCTTCAGTGTGTCATCTGTCCTACCCTTGTATAGTCTACTGAATCAATTCTTGGTAAAAAAACAATTCAGATTTGTTGAAATTTTTGTATTTGAATATAGAGAAGAAATATGTAACACATAACATTTCACGTGAAGATTAGGCATCCCAGCATATTTCACCTGATGATTAAACACCCTGATGCTAACTTATCCTAACTTAACCTAATCAAACCTAACCTAATCCCTCCAGGCAGCAATAGGTTGTTTAATTATCAGGTGAAATAAACTGGGGTGCCTAATCTCCACCTCATCCCGCATAACAATAAAATACTTACCTGTACATTATCACCTGTAAGACTCGGGAAGGTCGGATGATGAATACTCGTACGTATGTTTTGGTGTGTGAGTCACTAGCGAGGTGATGAGGTGATCGTCTTGAACATGAAGAAAATTGTTCCCTTTTCTCTTCAGTTCAGCAGTGCATGGGGGGGGAGCTGAGCGCGAGGGTAGACTTGTGTGTTTTGCATGTCTATGTATATTATGAATACCTAAAGGAATATATAATGATGATTCCTTCAAACTATATTCTTTTGTATGTATGTATGTATGTATTCATATGTATACTGTACATGCGCGTGTCTGGGTGTTTTTTTGTATGTATGTAAAATGTTGCGTTTGCCTGCAGTCATCAGTGAGTGACGGATGACTGTGATAACCTTCCCGACATTCTGACACAAGAGGGAATGTCATCGTACTATCATTTATGCTTCTGCACCAAACATTCTTCCCTCCTTTCCTTTTTACCTCTTTTATTTCCCCTTTTCCCACACATATACCATCTTGCTTTCTTCCCATCTTTCTCTTTCATCTCTTCACCTCTCACACTTTTTGTTTTATTTCCCATCCTTTCTTCTTTCTCCTTTTATTTTCCCTCATCTGTTTTAATTTTTTTCCCCCAACTCCTTCCCCTTTCCTTATTCTCTCTCCGTTCACCCCTTCTTTCCCTCTCATTCTTTCTGTTCTCTCTATTACTTACTCCACGTTTTGCCCATTCCACTCTCTCTCTCTCTCTCTCTCTCTCTCTCTCTACACAGGAGACTCGAGTCGCCATGTAATATAACAACGAGGTACGCGACATGGCTTAATAGACTCGGTAATTATGGCTGCCAAACATTACATGGTCGTTTACAGCTATATATCACTGGCTAATGGTCTCAGGCAGCTCTGTGTTTAGATGCTGCGGGATTTGAGTCTAAGAATTAACATCTCTAGTTGATGTTTCCCGAGCATGATGTTTATGCTGCCTTGCGCCTCTGCTTATCATAGTGGAGTTATTATAGAGTCATTTGTTATATGTGTAAACTGCTGTAGTTGTTTCGTGTAATGTTTAAGTGAACTGTTTGTGTGTGTGTGTGTGTGTGTGTGTGTGTGTGTGTGTGTGTGTGTTGTCCTCGTGGTCTTATGAGTAAAATTAAACTGACCTTGAATCAAAGACGCTTATGTGATTGTTCACCATCAATTGGATATGATTTAAACAGGTGAGTAAACAAGACTTATTTTACCCCTTACTAAATACTGGGATAAACAGACCAACACACGCACTGTTCCTGACTGTTGTTGACTTTTGACTGAAAAATAAGATAAGCTGATTATTTCTCCCTGATCCTCAACGGCTTCCCAATAAAAGTTTACTGAAAAAAAGGTATAGTAACCACGGCTCTGTAATATTGACGAATAAATATTACACGATGAATTTAGCAGCGAACAACGTGGACATTTTGATATAATATATGAGTAATGAAAGGAAAATTAAAACAAAATCTATGTAAGTGTAAAGAAAACAAGGAAAGTTAAATTCTTGTCGACTTTTATATGTAAGATATTTAACTTGTAAACAGCTTTTCAAAATATCATTCACGTGTTCCGTGTTTCACCTTAGCAAATATTCACAGCCTCAGATCTCTTGGGTAAACTTTCTCGCTAGATTAACTCGTTTGATCTGGAGTTGTTTCACACGCTTATACACGGTACTGCTTCGATGTGTAAACATTTCACCGCGTGTACCGTCTCACTTAATTACATTAGTAAAGTAAAGTCAATAAGTCGTAAGGTTACTGTTTTAGTGAAGATGATTATTATTCTGCTGAAGATTGAGGAGAGAACTTCATTGAGTCAGTTTCGATAATGTTTTTCAAGAGTGTGTGTGTGTGTGTGTGTGTGTGTGTGTGTGTGTGAAGGAGACAATTACACAGTGTTTATGAGCTAAACATCACTTCAAGTCAATTTTAAGACTTGGAAATTTTACCTATACAAAACCCATAGACACACCATAAAGGTTTTCCCAATCTATTAACACAGGTTCCAAAAACAGCTTCGTGCCGCTTTTCAACCCCAGTTATAACCCGCTAAATGTTCACTCTTTTGTTACAGCCTAGAGTGCTGAAGTAGTATGAGTTCTTTAGTAATTCACACAAGAGTCTTTACAGGTCCCAATGATCACATCCAGTCCACACAAACACAGGAGCAGAGATGACCTTGAAAGAGAAGACTATAATTCACGTAACCTAAAAATAGTATATCTAACCGTATATATGAAATTTGTAATATAAGAATATATACTTTTGTGCCTTGTCATTATATGCGTGTTCAAAAGAATGTCAGAATCTGAGACTTTTTGAGGCAGCTTAGTATGGGTAGTGGTCATATATCTCACAGCTGTCATGGTCTACTGTTTACTATTATTGGCACAGAACCCGACGTGGGAACACATATGATAAAAGTGGCCACTGTGATATGCTCGACTGGTTTTATTTCATTTAAAGCCGTTGAGACGGTCATTTAAGTTTCGCTGAGTGCCCCGCTTTGACCCCAGCCTCTCTCTCTCTCTCTCTCTCTCTCTCTCTCTCTCTTTCCAAATTTTCCTTCAATGAATCTCCTTGAATCTCCCTTTATGCAAATTTTGAAGATTAATATCACTAAAATTAGTTTCAGTTTACCATGTTGGCAGGTCATATATTCCCTGTACCGTATTATTTTAGTAAAAAAAAAATACATTGAATATAGAGAAAACCAATACATTAGAGATATGTAATATAATTAAAAAAAATCGTGTATATTCATTTCTGCTTAACCCCAGACTACAAAGAGAAGCGAGCTGGGTGTTCAACGCACGACAACACGGAAAACAAGCCTCTTGATTACCCAGGACCCGCACAGCTGTCGATGTTCCCAGCTGTAATTGGAACATTAAAGAGACCTGATGTTTTGCTCTGTTCCCCCCCCAAAAAAAATACATCAGAGAGATATAGGAGACGAGGGAAATAAAGAGAAAGATTATTATTAAGGGGAATTATCCGAGTTGTCGACGATAAGGATGTGAAAAAAATGATGGTGGGTCAAGAGGCGGAGACAGGGTGGGGGAATTATATCATCTCGGTAAAACTTAGTTGATAGTATACACAACAATACGTGACCTCACTCGGGAGCACAATGAGGCAGTTTTACGCTCGACCCACCAACACGCTCAACACATTCTAAATAGCTTCCATCTTGAGAGTAAGTCCGGACGATGATCCTACCCTGTGTGTTTATGTTCGGTTCCCATTAACAACATTGTCTTTAATTAGCGTATATTTACCTTAAAACAGTATAATAGGAGAGAACTAAATTTATTATTATATTACTAAAACCTACTGTTATCGTTACATAGTTATAGACGTTTAAATAGTTTATATGTTTACTGGAAGATTAATTCATTTTAATACGAATTCGATTGTTGCGTCGAATAACATTACAAGGACAAACACCTGTAGGAATAACAAGCAATTACAGCCCCGAACTAGTCATATTTTTACCTATTGGTTATTTATTCAAAATTCTAGATAAATCATAAAATTAGGAGCTACAGTAGAAATTTTTTTTATTTTTTTTTTTTTTTATTCATTTCATTTTATTTTGTTTATTTTTTTCCCCCGGGCATGTCATCTGTGTCGACGACCCCTGCAGTGTGAGGCTGAAATTCATTAATGGTTCCTGTTTGGGGGAGTTGTAATTACTGGTCGTGACACCCGGCTGCAGATCTCCCAACATTTATACGAGAGTACAAGTATCTCCTCCTTATTTGAATAAACCTTAACAGCACAGATACTATGTGGTAGCATCCCTGGAATATAATGTTACTAACTCATTTATGGTGGCAAAAGTTGGCATCATTCATGAAGTAGAGTCAACATACGACAACTTTCCTCAGGGCAAAATTTGGAAACAGTTTCAGCCCGAGAACTTTCCCGACATTCAGTGATAGAATTGTTATGTCTCATTTGCCGAAACTTCAGTGATATTTTGGTGGGTAGTTGTGAGGAGCCAACGAAACCGAGTCCTATAATGCTCACAGGTTTTCCAGCGTTTCTCTTATTTTGAACAGTTTGTTAACCTGATATTTTCATACATTAGGTGAAGAGAGGAACAAATATTTAGTACGTTAATAATCTGGGCGTATAGTGATATATTTACAAGGGTTTATAGGTGTTTCAAATGTCCGCCGTCTTGATTGATGTAGATATGAGTTTAATAATACATATCAAAAAATGTGTAATATCACCGCCTTCACTCTCTTACTATATGGATAAACGCTTCTCATTGATCCTCTTTTAAGCAACTTTCTGCTTTATGAATGTGAAACTTCCCAGCCCTCAATGGTCGCTGACTGCCTGGGAGTCTTCCTACCTCCCCTGACGGTAAAGTGAACCGTTTATTGGTAGGAAATTTGGACCACGTG